GTGTGTAGTCACACGCACGCAGACATAAGCACACGCACACGCGGATGAGCATACACGGTCGCCCACACGCACGCATACACACATACGCGCGCGCGCACATAGACACGCACACGCATTAAACAGGTGTGTCTGTGCACACGCACGCACATATAGATGCGTTATATATATATGCGCGACCCCCGCATCCCATGCACACGCTGCGCACACGCCCAGCCCGCGCAAGCTCCGCTCCCGGCGGGTCCCGGCCCCTTGCCCTTGCCCCGGTGCAGCACTGCCGCCCCCGGGAACAACCGCAACCCCGGGGCTTGGGAGGGGGCCAGGGTAGAGTTAGGGTTATTCGAGCTATCTATCTATCTATCTATCTTCCAGCACATACGCATCGCTATACGATATCTAGACCTTTTGGCACACACACGTTGCCTTGTGGACTAGATACATAAGAAGAATTGCGACAACAGAATTCGAGTATTTTAATCTATCTGTCTATAGATATCTCTCTCTCTCTCGATCCGTCTGTCTGTCTATATTATATCTATAGGCGGATCTATCTGGTCCCTATGCCTCAGTCCCGCTCTATGTCTGCATTTTCCCTGAGACTTTTTTTTTGCAAATATATGTGGGTGTAGGCATACAGATACAGACCCATATATCTATATCTATAACTGTATTTCCCCGAGACGTTTCGGAGCCTGCCCCGGGGCGGGCAGGTCCCCGGCCGCAGCCGCGCTTCCCTCCGCGCCGCCCCCTCGTGCATTATTCACGCGGGGAGCGCAGCCGGGCCGCGGGCGAGTTTCCATGCGGAGCTGCCCCCCCACCCCGCAGCGGGACTCACGTTTCCCCCCGCCCGCAGCACGGTATCAATAGTTAATGGAGCTGGAGCCGGGGCCGCCTTCCAGCAGGGCTGGCTGGGCCGGCGGGCACTGCCAGGCTGGGGGAGGTGGGGAGCCTCTGGGCATTGCAGGCACAGCTGGGCAGCCTCACCCGGTTCCAGCAGCTCCCCCAGCTCTCGCCCCTGCTCTGGTGCCCTCCACCTAAACGGCGGACTGGGGTCAAGGGTGCAAGTGCAGCCCCTCTGCCTCTCGCTCTGCTAGGAGGGGGCAGGTAGAGATGGGCAAGGCGACATCCCGCCTGTCTTGTGCTTGTTATGGGAGTGCGGGGCATGGCCTCTGTCTGCCCCCAGCGCAGCCGGCAGGACAATCTCTCCAACAGTCTCCTGGTGCTCTGCGGAAACTGCTGGGCACTGCCCCTACCCCTCATTCCCGAGGCAGCCCCTGCTGCAGCGTGGCCAAGAGCAGGGCTCCAGGGTGCCCAGACAGCAGTCGCTGCAATGCCGCTGCGTGCTGAACAGAGACCAGCTTGCAGGCTGGGCACTGAACAAGCCAGCACTGGGCCGTGGTGCCGTGCTGAGCACCGCAGATGTTGCTCTCTTTCCAACCCAGGAGTGTGCTGGTGACCTGGCCTCACAGCGTGTTTACACCAAGGTAGAAGAAAGGAGCAAGCACAGGCCATAAATCCCCATGCTGGTGCGTCATACTGGAATCCAGTGTCGCTTCCCCAGTGGGGGAAAAAACACCCAGTAGCACAAGTGCATCAGCTGAAGTTACAGCACCCACAGCTGTTTAGGGGTAGGCAATGGCCTAAGGCAGAGATTATCTGTGCCACTCGCACACGCCGGTGTACAAAGCAGATGTAAACTACACAGCTGCTAACGCGCTGTGGGTCTAGATCCCAGGCTCTTCAAAGCCCTTGACCAAGCGAACAGCAAAAGTTCAAATACACAACATCAACGGGCTCTCCTTTATCAATTTTCTGAGTGTAAAAGGCAGCAGAGCCTTTGCTGGAGGAAACGTGGCTGGTGTACGGGCATGGTGGCATTATGCTAGGTTTTGAGTTGAACTAGGTTATCAGAGGTGAGACTATATTCCTGGCACTTAAAGGGGGCAGACTTGTTCTCCTTTATGTGTAGTGAGAGAGACACGTGTCCCATCTCAACCAGCAGTGAGAGATGCATTTTCCCAAAAAGGCGCTGTGGCTAATGACCCCATCCTTCAGCTTCCCCCAGAGGCCGTAGCCCAGACAGCCACAGGACGCAATCACCGCCCAGCCCAGCCAGGGCCACCGATGGTGGTGAAAGGGCACATTTCTGCAAAGGAAGCAGAACTGCGTGTTGAACCGCAGGGTACTCGAGTACGATACTCTTTCTTTTAAACGTCCCACCGACGGGACTCCAAGCGTGACTGGCTTATGCAGGGTCACCTCCACCACATTAGCATGACCACCGCCCATTGCCATCAGGGACTTGTGCTGGGACAAACAAAATCAGAGGAGTCGAGCGTGGTCCCAGAGCAGTGTGCCTTCACAGCAAAGCCAGAGAGAGGTGAAAAGTGAATTGGAAATTCAAATGGTTCAAGTGCTGTGCTTGTGTCATTTCTTTAGAAAAGTCTAACGCGGGGGTGATTCCCCCCTCTGGTGAGAAATGGATTTTAAAGCACTCTTGCAATATTTGGCTTGGGCTAGAAGCGTGGAGCCAAAGGGATGGGTACAAAAAGGCTGCTGCACGTTATTTTTTCACTCGGACATCTGCAGTTTATTTTTAAATGAGCACATTCGTTTACAATTTAGTACAAAACGGCCACTTTCCCCGCAAGAGAGGAGGTCTCCCATCGAGTAAAAAACTAACTGATACGAGAAAATGTCAAATTATTCAAATAAATAAAACATTTAAATTACTCAACGGTTTTGCTCACCAGTCTCAACAGCTTGGATGCCGCACAATATGCGTGTCGAGCCTTTCCTAAAGATGATACTCGCGTCCGGTTCCAAACAGGTGCGACATAAAATATACAGTTTGCAATTAAAAATTAAACACGAAGGAATCATTTCACTTGGCTTTTTTTTGGCACGCGTGGCTTTTTCTCCTCCGACCCAGCAAGCCCTCCATTGTTTTCTTTCTCCCTGAAGTTTAACATTTGCTCGCTGAGAAACTCCAGACGGATAAAAAAGCCGGAAGTATCAAAGCGACAAAATGCAGCCCAAAGGTTACTCGGTTTGGTATGATTCAGGTTGCAACATTTTCATTAGGAAAACGTGCGTGGTTGAATTCTTTATCAATCAAAACTCTGAGTCTGACTGGCTGATATTTTTAGGGCATTTCTAAAAAATACTCTCATAATTTGGCTCCCTGTAACACAGCGTGGGAAAACAGCATTGCCCATCGCAGGGACACTTAATAATACTTTCTACAGACACGGCCGATCATGAGTATGACGGTATTAACTCCTGGGTGCAGGGCTCCATACTGACCATCGTAATACATAAAACACACAACTTGTCAAGGTACGGTTACAAAATGGCAAATACACTGACATTTGTGTAACAATTACATCCAAAATTCAGGGTTGGTTTCCAAGCGAGGTCACTATTACCAAAGCTTTGTACCAAGTAAGCAGCAGAACTTAACTTATTGCACCACGTGACACGATCCAAATCCCATTTGCATCTATTTTGGGGGAAAAACGCTGGACATTAAGGTCTCTGCTGTTCAATTTCCTGCTTCAAACAGTGTAAAGGCACTATGAAAGCTTACAGGACTCCTTCAGCAAATGAAGATCATGTTCCTATATATGCCCTAAAATAACCCACTAGTTGTTTTGCAGGCAAAAGCATCCCGACAAGCTTTCCAAAGTGGCTTTAATACGCAGATGAAAATAAGCAGGACGTGCCCAAAATGAACCAGCCCAGTGCTAGATACCCAGCAAAGTTGAAAACAAAGTAACGGTCATTGATATGAAAATATGCAAAACGAACAACAGCAGGAAACGGAAAGATGACACAGACTTAAAGCTCTCCGCACGGGTACCGAACACGTCACCGGGTATTTCGAGATGCAGCACCTCCCTCAGCTCCTTCTGACCTCAAATCCAGCTCCGAAAACCGTGGCCACTTGTTACGATTACATTAGATTACCTGACATTAGATACCCAGTTTGGTTAAGACCAGAGGCCAACATTTTCCATTTCCCCAGCTCCGAGCCCCATTATTTGAATCTGGGTAATAACTAAGTGCAATGGCATTGATTACAGGCTGCGGGCTTTGATTTTTAACTCGTTTCACCATCTGGCTTGTAAGCCGTTTCGATATTTAAAAAAACGGTGCAATAAGCATCTTGGTACTTGCTTAAAGATCTCACGGAGGAGGGAAGAAACCGTTCCAACAGGTCGTGTCTCGCCTCTTAAATCAGACATTTTCATCCAGCCCTTCAGACTGTCTTGAAGTCACAAGGAAAGTTTCATCTAATATGTCCTTGGAGACTATCTGTTCCTCCATGTCACCAAGGGCCCTAAAAGGTAGCTTAGGAAAGCTGAAAACAATGTTTCTTTTACTGCTGTCACGATCACGCAGATTTTGCTTCGGACCCGTGACTGTGCATGCAGTTAAAAGCCTTTTAAATGTAAATGTGTGTGTCGCATCAGTATCCGCCCTTGTTTCTCTGTGCAATTATTTGCCCAATTTTCTTATTTGAAATTGAAGCTATGGAGGAGTTGTGTCAAACTTCGGCTGGAGACATGTATATCAAATTCAGTTATCATTAAAAGCATTTTCTTGCCGAGCACCGTGTCCTAAGCTTTAGCTCACGTTCACGGCAAGGTTCAAATCCTTCATCCGAGGGCTTGTGAGGGAAATCAGAGGGCAACGTGACTGAGGTTTGAAGGCCCCATGCAAATCCAGCACATTACTAATAGGCCCAGCAATGAAAGAGACAATGAACAAATTAACCCGGTGCTATTTCCTCCCGCTTTTATAGTGCAAGAACAGTGTACGTGCGTGTGCCGGGAGGGAGGGGGGCATTAAAGGAAATTTTAAGTTCACTCCCAGGTGATCAGAAATACCCTGTTATGCACTGTAATTAATCTGCGAAACACACAGCCACAAGACGACATTGAGGCTCGAGTTTTTCGGGTTATATAATTAGACAAGTACGTGGATAATGAGAACATCCTGGCTGCAGTAGATAAGACCATCGACCTCCGTCTCCTAAGCACAAACTGATTACCAGTAGGTGAGATCAAGAAGAAACTTTTATGCCCCGGGTCTCATCTTTTTATATTTCTTCACACGCTCTCTCACACCTTGCCCCGAAAGACTGAACAAGTGGACCTGAGACCTGATCTGCAAAGTCAGCTGCTACGTTCCCAACTGGTCCCACAGCCCGGCGGGGAACAGCAGCGGCGAACGGAGCGCACTAGCAAAAGCAGAGGAACGGGAGACTGTTCTTGAAGTAATGACTAGTCTTCTTACATAAGGAAACTTTACAGGTGGGAGATAATATTCCTCGTCTCACAGGCTCAGGACTGGTAACAAGCACATGAAACACTTACAC